AGGAGTGGCACAAGGATATAGAGGGGAAAGAGGAGAAGGTGTCAGAAATTGCTTTCAGGTGTCTTGCTTGGATGACTGGATGGATTATGGTGCTAGTAAATAACATAAGGAAAGAAGATAAAATTTGAAATGAAGTTGATTAGTTCCTTCTGTGTGACATGCTGAGTTAAAAATATTTGTATAGGAGCTGGGGATTTAGCTCAGCGGCACAGCGCCTGCCTGGCAAGCGCAAGGTTGTGAGTTCAATTCCTGGTACCGGAAAAAAACAAAAACAAACAAACAAACAAAAAATATTTGTATAGGTTGGTCATCTGACATGGTTTGATTAAACTATGCTGATTAGTGCCTGTTAGTACAGCATAATTAGTAATAGCACCTTTAAAAAAAATCTCTCTTAAACTAGTAAAAAACCCAAAGTACTTGGCGAGTCTTGCCTTTAAGGTTGGTCTTCTGGCTGCTTAGCCATTTTCTGGATATGTTAAGTTATAGTGCCATTAGAAAATGATACTTGAGTTCATTCTTTGCTTCAGATTCATCCAGAATTTCAAAGCAAACATTGTTGGTGCAAAATTTTTACTGCTTTCTTAGCTAATGTATATATAGTTTTAGTGTTGCTATCCTGAAGTGCTATTTTGTATGTAGCATGCAAAGCACTAATTTCCAAATGATAGATACTGAGCATTTGCTGCTGTTTGTTCTGACTAATCCTTTTTCTTTCAAACCACTGGTCTGGTTTTGAAGATCTTATTATGTTTTATTTCTTGTACATAAATGTCATTTAACTTTGGGGGATTTCATTGCTTCATTAGCTAGTATTTCTCTGCAAATAGCACATCATGAATTTAGTAGTTTATTTTCAATGTAACTACAAACTCTGTAGGTACTGTACTCAGTAAAACTAGTAAAAATATATGCAAAACTTTTTTTGTTTCTTTGGAGTTGCTTCCACTTTCATTATCTGGTTTTATATCTGCTACATTGTTCAGTAACTTGTGCCTTTTCTTGACTCAAAATGATATGTAACATATGGGAACATAAATTTTTAAGGATAGAAAACAGCAATTAGCAAGTGTGTTGGATTCTAAAAATCTGCCTTTTCAATATTTTCCAAATTTATATATTACCATTTATCAACTAGAGGCAAAAATAGGTAATGCCAATTTAATTCTTTAAATTTAGTTGATAATATTCAATATAATTTTTTTAAAAAGCACTAGTTTAAAAAATAATAAGCTAGGAGTTGAGATTGAGGTCATCATTGCAGATGCCTCTGTTAACTCTTTCAATAAATTATCAGTTGTTTAAAAAAGTAAGATGGTCACAAAATAACACCTTAGAATATTCAAATGCTGTCATTCCCCAGAAATTGATGATTATTGACTTCTAGTCAGACACCTGTTCTACTGCAGTGACTGCTAGGCAGCTTGTAGCTCCTGTGGCTCAACAAGGGAGTGTGACAGCACAGGAGCAGGCTTAGTGATGTTGAGGTGGTGACGTCGCTCACACACCTGGATGTTGCAACAAGGTCCACTTGCCACAGAAGGGACTCAACTGCCACTGTCAACTTCCGTGCTTGTCAGATGGTACGGAGATGTCTTTGGACCCTGATAGAGTAGCACTGACTTCTGGTTGCACACTCCAACATTCTGGGGAAGCTTACCACTATTTGTGTGCTCTTTTATCTGGCCGCTGTTTCTGAAATACCCCAACCCTCCTCTTCCAACACATACATCCACATACACACATGCATGCTTGCACGCACATACGCCAAGATTGACAGGGAGAATGAAGGTTCTTGCTATCTGACCTACTCATTAGTGTCTTTCTCTTCCCTACACTTTCCTGAGACTAAGGGGAAAGGCTTTCATCTTTTTTATTTCATATATAGATTGTTATGATTCGGTCTGGATTTTCATATGTTAAAGAAGGAGATCAAAGAGTTTGGATCAACATTCTTTGCTATAAGATCCTATTTTTAAATAACTGAAGGTGTTATTCAAAGTATCATTTTTCCCACTTTGGATCCCTGTTCTGACAATGTTTTTTATGTTCACTCTTATAAATCTGGTGTGTTTTAAAAAATTTTATTTAAAGAGAAAAGAACAAAAACAAAATAACAAAAAACAAAGACAAAAACAAAACAGCACAAAAACAATAAAAATGATACAGAATTGTAAAACAAGATGATAAGTGATGTGTCAGGCTGCATAGGGTGAACAGCATATAGCCCACAAAATGAAAAGAGAAAAGCATGTTGGTGTTCCTTTCTGAGCTCTTTCTTTACATATCTTTGCACGCTGACTTCTACAGAAGGCTCTGCAGTACACTCTGCACATTGTACTCTTCCTGCCGTGTGTTTTAATAGCACTGGCCATGCAGGCTGCAGCTTGTAAATCTCCCAGGACCCTGTCTAGGATGTCTGTCATGATTAGTGTTTCCCTCAGTAATGCTGCAGCTACAGCAGTTCTGGGCTGGGCTCTTTAATCTCTTCCTGCCCTTTGCCACCAGGGACACTCTTACCCACCACAGGAAGTCTCCAATTCATAAATGATCTGCGCTCTGAATCTGTAAGTGTAGCATTTGAAACCCAGAGCTCATTTTTCTATAGGGAGAATGTTATAAGTGTGTGTTGGGTCTCCAGGTCAACCCACAAAGGCTCATTCAACTCCTAGTGCAAGTAATGCATTTTCCCTTTGCTCCTTTTATATATCATAGAATGATAGAATATCTGAGCTGAAAGAGAATTTAGAACATCATGCTGTACATCAGCAGCACAGTTGTATTTCAATGTATTCTATTACAAATATCCCACATTCCATCTACCTTAGATGATAAGTAGAGTCCTGTGGTCCAGCCTGGAAACCCCAGCACCCTTTAAAACATTATAAATCAAACAATCATGGAACAGGAGTGGGCTTGCCAAAAAGAACTTTGCCTTGGCTATTTTATGTTCTTTGAGGCACACTGAAAATATCAGGTCTTTGTCAATGATGTCCCTACCTCCAAATGCACAGACATGGCCAATGCTTGTGCACCTTAAATCAACACAATCATGGGAGACACTATTAAGAAATCCAGAAGGGTCAGATGTGGGAGTATGTGTGTGTGGGAAGGGATAGGAATGCCTTTTGGGGTTTGTTGAGCCAAGCACGCACCCATACCAGGGGCCCTGTTTTCTGGCCCTTTTGTCTGAGATGCTTGTCTCCAGATACTGCCATCGTGTATGTACTCTCACACCCCATCAGTTCTTTGCTCAGCGGGGCCCTCTAGGACTGTTCTGTTGAAACCAGCACCTCCTGGAATGCTCTGTCTCTTACTTCTGTTTTGCTTTTCTTCGCCGTGCTTTTCACTTGCTTGTTTGGCAGATTCCTTGCCTGCCATTGAAACGCCAGCCCCAGCTTTCATATAAGCTTCATACGGGTAGCATTGTATCTCTACTCTTTGTTATACCCTTAGTGCCTGTAATGCTATCTGACATGTAGCTGTATTGGGACTTAGAAACAATACCTCAAAGTACCGCACTTTAGCGTGCTAAGGGCTGTGAATTAAAGGAGATTAGAAGCCCTCGGAAGCAGCCTCAGAAACTGAAGTCTCCCTCCGACTTTCTCCCACTCTACTGTCTCGCATCTCTCCAAAAGGAGTCATGGAAACTACAGCTCTTCCCCAAAGCAAGCCATAAAATGTCAGTATCTCCCTTTGCCCACATTGAAGACCCTTATTCCACAGTGGTCCTGCCCTACACCTAAGAGGGAAGCATGCCACACAGATAGACCAAGAAGAATTCAAATATACAGACCTCGATGGGGTCCCCCTCAGTCTGTTACCGTTAGATCACACCTATTTGTCAGAGTTTCACAAGGCTCCCATTCTTCACTGAATCAAAGCTATAAAAGCTTTCCCTTGGGTCTGTGGGTCTTTGTTCTAAAGGCTCCTATGCCATATAAAGTGGATTAAGTAAATGTGTGTTGCTCCTCTTATTAACTTACCTTTGCTATAGGAGTGTCAGCTGTGACCTTTACATTAAGAGCTCAGCAAACAAATTTTTGAGTGAAAGCAGGAAGAGACTGCACACTATGCTAGATGTCTTATCTACATTACTTCATTTAATATTCCAAATATTTTTGCGTGGTAAGTTTCTCCTTTTTAGTTTCTTTTTGGCAGGTGAGTGGTAAAACATCCTTAGATTAAAAAATAACTTTAGCGATACAATTTTGTAGTTTATGTATGTATTTTATCAGTTTGTTGATCGATATTTTTGCATCTCATTATAATCTTGTATTCCCTGGAGAAGAAATGTGAAGTAAAATAAATTCTCTAAAGGAGGAAAAGGATGTTGCTTTAAAGTGATTTGTCTTTAGGAAGTACTTTGAGGGTAATTTTTAGCTGACCTAATTCAACGCAAGCCAAATGAATACTCACTGTGTGCTGGAGTAGAGAATATATAAGGTTCGTGTCTTCACAGACTTTATAGAAGCATCATTTCTTCATACTGGGAAAAGATGAATCACTTTTTCATTCATCCTTTTACTCATTTAAGAAGTATGACTTCTGTCCTTGCTGAGTTATATTCCGGAAAGCCAGACGGATTATAAAAACTAAGGATAAAGCAAATAACAGTAACAGAGAGATCTGTAGAAAGGCTGTGGGAGCATGTGGAGCCATGGGGTTACCATCCTTCGCATCCTTGGTTGTGATCAAGGATGCACACTGCACCCTCTAGGAGAGTTCCTGAACTTACTTTCTTAAATATTGCATGGTTGGGCAAACTTAGCACAGATGCCTGATATGACGCATGCATCAGACCCCAAAGGATGGAGCCCACGTCGGCTAGGAGAAGCAGCTCTTCGCTGGTGGTTGCAGAGGGAGCCTTCACAGGGGTATATCAGAAAGGGATTCAGATCCCCTGTTTGTGATGTAACAGAAACTATACGAGCTTTGAAACCAAGTAAAAACGTGGACCGGACCCTTGTCCTTACCTAGCCGTGTCATGCTGCACACAGGTCCTGCTGTCTTGGTAGCAGTCCATCTCCGAGGACTCCTGGGGAGAGGATCCAAGCGCAGCCTGATACCCAGTGTGCATCCGACAAATGTCATAACAACAGCTGCCATTCTGTGGGAAGACATGTACATTTTACACATGCACTTTAATGCAAGAAGCCTCGTAAGTATAATTACATCTCACAGATGAAAAGACTGAGGGCAAGAGAATCAGGTAGCTACTACGCAGCTTTTCGCTTAGCATTTTAAGTGTTACATAATTATAAATTATATTTTAATTTCATCTGGCCATTTATACACGTGGCTTTGGGACATTATAAATAAAACTGTGTTTATAGGAATCTATACTTAATGCTGAGTTCCTCACAAAGCCCCCATTTTCATTGTTACTTTGTGGTTTTATTATTTGACAGTAGATGGCGCTGTTGATTATCAAAAGAGATTAAAAAAAAATGCCACCGTACAGCAGCCCCTTCTTTCCTTAGCTATTAAGAAACCCAACACAATAAAACACCAAAGATGATGAAAGTAATGTAAAGATTTTCATTCCAATGAATAGTTTAAATTCAAAAATTGGAACCACTATGTAATTAAATTGGACTTATAGATGATCGACGTGTATTTTATTTGGGTTGCTAAGGGAAATCCCCTGAACAAATTGCAAAATTACATTGTCAGGATTAAAACACAATCAAATTATCCAAACAATAAATTTACAGTTCTCTATGATCCATATCTCATTTCTGTACATTTAGGAAGAGAAGGCTCCTAAGACAAATAGGAATTTAGTTGGCCCAAACAAAACAAACCAAAAATTCGTGTGGGATTTCTGGAGTCCTGAACATGGTCAACATGAAAACAGAACAAGTTATATAACTCTTGGGTAAGTCCTTTGATACAGGCATGAATTTTCTCATCTGTAAAACTGAAGCATTTCGTACCCAATTGCAAAGATGCCTGTCAACCTTTTTCACATGTCAATTGCAAAGATCAAAAGCAGTAGTGTAGTGTATTGTGATGTCCATTCTTAAACCTTCTTCACCTTTAGCATATCTTCTTTAGGGAAAATCATGACACAAGAAAACTGAAATTACAGGTAAAACACTGGTGTGTTCAATATCCTCATTTATCCAAGAACAATTCTATTACTTTCAGTGTATTAGATTCGTGTTTAAAAAACAAGGGGCTAAGATATTTACAACCATAAAAGGAATGTGTTTAGCTTACTATTCAGCTTCCGTGAAAATGAAAAAGCACTTGACTCTTGAGATGGTTCATACTTTCATGCCCTGTTCTTGCTGTGTCTCCGTGCTAGGAGTGTGTGTTCCTCTGCGTGGACGTGGCAGAGCAGGTAGTGGGGGACGGATCCCAAGAGAGTTCACTGAGTATTCTAAAGCCACAGAGACGCTCGTGACGCTAACAAATACTGTTTGGAAGCTCTGTTGAGAGGCATAGGTAGTGACATTGCAGTTCTTTTAACAAAAGATTCCCAAACGTTTGCTAAAGACAGTAGGGTATTGCCACTCCTGCTTCAGGAGCAGTGGGCCCCTTCTGGCACCTGTCATTGCTGCCCCAAAAGCAGAACACACTCTTCATACCAGAACCCCTGGCCAAGGATGACCTGTTCCCCAGCTCCACTATTGGAGCATGGCTTTGAGGACTGAAAGTATCCCTGTGCCTAACATTGACTGGCCAGCTTTTACAAGCACCATCAGATTTCTGAACCCTGCTTTGACAGATTCTCTCAACACTCCTTTGGGAAGGACTCCCTGCCTGGCCTTCCTTGGAGTCACTGTCATGTGTCCTAGGGGACATCCCCCTAATGTGTTGTCGCATTTGTGATTATGCGCTGCTTGAATGCTTTGTTTAATTTCTCCTTGTGGATGGTAAATTCAGGGGCATGTGGAACAAATCTGCCTTTTCTTTCCCCGTGTTCTGTCTCTATATCTGCACGTGGCCCGGCATGGAGTAGGTGCTCAGCAAGGAATTGTTGAATGAATGAACCAGGGCTTGGTTTAGTCTTTGGGAAAGGTTGACAGGCATGAAGGGGTTCAAGCAAACCCCAGACTTCCCTTTTTGACATCTTTCAGGCCTTTTGCACAGAGCCAGGGAGGACAGGCGTGCAGAGAAAAGGGGTGGGTTTGTAGTGGAGACAGGGTCTATGGGCCGGCAGCCCACTGGCTTTAAGCTGTTGGCGCCTTTCCTGCTAAGCCAGCATCTGGGCGTCTGGAGTATCCCTTCCTCTTTCCTCATTGCTTCCTGTGGGGATGAGCTGGCATAGAGTTGGAGTCTACATAGAAGTCTGATCTAACAGGAAGCAAGTAATGCTTCCCCGCCTCGTGTAGGTGTTTCCTTCAAGTTACAAAGGGCTCTTTCAGAGAGAAAAGGAGCTGCTGTCTGCCCTGCACAGAGCCAGCTCCTTTTGGAGCCAGGGGCTTCCCCTCCTGGGAGGGACACTGTGCAGACTGTGGTGGGGTATCCAGCCTCTCCAAGCCTCTGTCCTGTTAGCTGCATGATGCAAGCATTCTGAGCCAGGTGCAGTGGTGCTCACCTGTAAGCCTAGCATTCTGGGCGGCTGAGACAGGAGGTTGGCAAGTCTGAGCCTCACCTGGGTAACCAGTAACTTGCCGAAACGCGGCCTCAGAATAAAAAATAAAAAGAGGCTGGAGATGTAGCTCGGCACAGAGGCTCTGGGTTCAATCCCCAGCACCGTACCTCACCTTCCTCCAACAAACAAACAAAAACAGTCAATCAAACAAACAAAACACCTGATACAAGCACACCTTGATGCTCGGAGGTAACTGTGAGGCCATTGCTTTCTTTTCTTGGCTGTCAGGACATAGCAGTTCGTGATTTTTCTTCTTCCATTGCAGCCTTCTTGCTGGATCCTTTTCCTCTTCCTAATCTTTTCATCCCCTGCTTCCGCAGAGCTCTGCCCTGCACCTCTTGTCTCTAACCACACTCACCCTGGATGAGCACAGGGAGATTTTGGCTGTTGATTTCCTGTCTGTGCTGAGGAACCCCACACACTTAGTTCTAGCCCTGGCCCTACCCTGATTCATCCAGGTCTTTCTGTTCAGCTGCTGACTCTGCGTGTCTCCACATGGATATCTAATGTGTGTTTCACGGTTACTACATAAAGGCAACTCTTGATCTTGTCTTCCGTACCTACTAACTGCCTTTCTCTTAGGCGTTCCCACCTCAGTAAGGTGCTCAGTCCCAAACCTTGCAGTCATCTTTGGCTCCTTTTCCCCGCTCAGACCTACATGTAATCCACAACAAAACTACCTTTAAAAGATATCCCTCAGCCAGCTGTGGAAACACATGCCCAAGTCCCAGCACTTGGGATGCTGAAGCAGGAGGGTTCTAAATTCAGGCCAAGCCTAGGCAACTTAGTGCTATAGCAAGACTGTGTCTCAAAATAAAAAATACAGATAAAAAGAACTAAGGGGTGTGGCTTGGTGCAAAGGCCCTGCATTCAATCTCTGCCACTCCCACTCCCATGTGTCCCTCACTTTGCCTCTTCTTACCATCTGTCTCAAACACCCAAGCCCTAGGTGAGAAAAGCCCCCGCTCCTGGACCACTGTGAGTCTCTGTTCTTTTTCCTTCTACTCTTATTCTGCTGTAGCAGTTCTCCTAACGGAGAAGTCAGGATGGTCTTTTAAACTGCCAAATCATGGCGCCCCTGCTCAAAACTTGCTGGGGCTTCCTTCTCACAGAAAATGGAGTTCAACTTCCACACAAAGGTCTACAACCTTGCCCGTGCTCTTGCCCTTGCTAATCCTGACTTCAGCTTCTATCTCTGCTCCAACCGGACTTGCCCTGTCCGGGCAGGGAAGGTTCTAAGCTTACTCTTTTTCCTTGAAGTATGTTCCTAAACATGGGAGCCACACACACAGCGTAAGACTCAGGGGAGGGTGAGTAGTTCAACAGAGAAGAGCTTGTCTTGTTTGCAGACCAAGGCTCTCAGGTGACAGCCAGCCAGCACCCGTGGTCATATCTGTCTGGGTGAAGGCTCTAACTCCAATCTCTCCCTATGAGAAGAGCTTTCTTAGGCAAAGGGGAAGACCAGATAGAAAGCCCTCTGTAGCTACAGTTTACTTGACTGGTGTACATACACAGTTTGTTTGTTTGGGTTTTATAAAGGAGCACTTTTCAGGGCTGCCCCTATGTCTGTAGTTTCTCTGAACTGCCATCTCAAAATAAACCAAAGGCACTTATTTCAGGTGGCAAATGTAGGTCTCACATTGGCGTTTCTGTGGCACCAGCTTGTTCTTGCTTCAACTTTGCACTTGTGCCTTCCTCTGGAGTTCTCTTCCTGCATGTTTCCACGTGGCTTTGCTCTTTTGCCTTCTGAGGGATCTGAAAAGTCCTACCCGTAGATTGGTTGAGTTTTCCCACCACTTAAATTTGCTGCTTAACACCCCTCCTCTGTCTTTGCTTTGGACACAGCACTTGTTGCTATCCACATCAGGTTCACAGATGAAAGTACAGGACTCCCTGGCTAGTTTAAGGAGCAGAAGGGTATAGCAGTATAGCCAAGAACTATGTGTGAATTGTACCAGTTGGTGGCCACTCTGCTGCCCCTACTGCCACTGTTTACATCATCTCAATATTTTTGGCACAAGGAACTGGTTTTCTACAATACAGTTTTTCCACCTGGGTTGAGCAGTGGTTTGTGGTTAATTCAAAGGAGCTTACAGCCTACCTCCCTCACATGCGCAGTTATAAGTAGGGTTCGAGTTCCTATGGAATCTTAGGCCAGTACTGATCTGCAAGGGGGAGCTCGGGCTGTAAATACAGAGGAAGCTTTGCTCACTTGCACCCCATCCCCACTGTGTTCTCTTGTTGCTAATAGGCCATACTGGTCTATAGTGGGGGGCTGGGGGCCCTTGATCAATGCCACTGACCTAGACACTGGCTTTGCTGCACCCTACTATCACCAGTGCTCTGCAACCTCCTGCTGCTACAGTGAGGATTTTTTTCAGGCCTCTATCATTCAATAGCTGGTTCCTAACTCAAAGTATGAGCAAGTGTGTCTGACTGACTAAACCATGGCCACAGGCCTTGCTTGTTTACAAGGGAGACTGATAAAACCAATACCTGGCATTTTGTGTTTCTCTGTAGTGCACCATGGGCTCTGCATGCCCATACAATTCCACAAGGTAAGAGATCTTTAGACATAGGATGAGGTTCAGACTCTGGGCCACCAAAAATCAGTGTAAACATTCATAGTTCAGCATTAGCCAGCTTTCTGTTATACCTGTATGTGTTTACTTGTCCATTGCCTGTCACCTCCCTCAGAATACAAGCTATATAAGGGCAGGAACTTTGTCTTTTTTCCGTTGTTTCCCCAGAGTTCAGAACAGTGGCTGATCAGAGGAGACTCTTGGATAAATATTTGTTGAACGAATATTAGACACTCTTGAAAGTTTTGTAATTGCAAAGATTAAACAGTCCAGATATCATTCTCCCTTTCGGGGAAATAAGTGCTTCTGGCTCCTCCTCTGGCTATTTTCTCACTCTTCTAACTCCTAAGAGGTCTAGATCATGTGATGTGCTAGTAAGAAAATACAGAGGTAGAAGAGAGCCAGGTTCAGTACCAGGGAGGCGAAGTCAGAGGTGAAAAAGGAGAATTCCAAGGGATTTCAAAAGAGGACACAGCTACTCAGGGGTAATGGGCTAAAGCATGAGCCAGAGATTGCTGAGTAAAGAATGCCCTGTGTTGCCAATGACTTCCTTGAAAAGGAGGAAGACAGACCTAGGAATCAGGGCTTCTTTTCATCATGCTGTGCCTTTCAACTCAGAGAGCTCAAAGGAGGGTGGGGGAAGGAGTTGA